GTGTGCATTTAATTTAATAAAATAAAAATAAATAAAAAAATTGATGAAAAAAAATGTAAATAAATGACTGGATAAAATAAAAATAAAAACTTCGTTGTCATATCATCTTTCGAACAATTTGAGTATTAATAAATTATGTACAAATAAGCAAATTTTTAGTTTAAAAGGTAAAAAAGTTTTTTGATTTGTTTAAAAGGTAATTATGCCCCATCATTCAATCATGAGACTATTTAATATCTGTTCCTACGAATCAGAATTCTTTTTTATTTTACTTTAAAATTGTAAAAATTATATTTTTAATACTTTCATGTGATATGCTGCACTTTTAAAAACCTAAATAGTGTCTAAAATTGTCAATTCAAAAAACAATTAATTAGTACTTTGGAACATAAATTTAAATAACTCCATGCATTTTGTTTTGCAATCTCATTTTATATTATCAAGGTATTGAGAGCAGACATAGCTTGTGGGTGTGGATGATATAAGTAAAAGAGACATATTAAAAAAAAAAAAAAAAACTAATTTAATTTCAATTAATGCAATATTTTATTTTTTAACTTCTTGTAGGGGTAAGGGAACTACCCCTGTATCAGAAAGGTTCTGGGTTCGAATCCCGGGCAAGGCATGGATGTTCTTTCCTTCTCTGTTCTTTCCTTTCAGTGGGAGCAACGTTGGCCCACCTAATATGGTGCCCCTGAAAGAGAGGCCAACAAATCTGCACTGTAAATGCCTGAATTGACAAATGTTAACACAGGTGGGCATTGGAGAGAAAAAATTTTAAAAATGTAGTAAAAAAATCATTGTCATAAACAAATTAATATTAAGTAAGAACGAAACAAAAATGATATCGAAATATGCTGAATCACTAGTGAGACAGCTGGGATGAAAGACATCGAAACCAATTGGATAGAATAGTATAACAAGAAGGTGTTTCTAAAATCCCAAAATCTATTAGACCACATTTTTTTTTTTTTTTTTTTTTTTTTTTTTTTTTTTTTTTTTGTCACAAAATTTATCAGGGGCTATTTGTTAGATTTCAAGACGGGTTATGTTTTTTCTTTAATTAAATATTAAACATTAACTAATGTTTGTCTTTCAAAACTTTTCATTCTGTAATAACGAATATCAAGCATTTAAAGTATCCAGTTCAAGAATGTCAAGTATCCAAATGACTCCATTTATTAAATTTAAAAAAATAATAATAATTAATTAATATCCGCAAGGCAGGTGTGTATATTTGGGGCTGATAATTATGAAATCTAACACAAAACTGTGAGATCGTGGCTTCTATTCCAGCTGATGACAGTTTTTAATTATTATTTCTTAATACAGAAAAATGTTTTTCTTATTTTCTTTTAAAGTATGCACGTTAAAAACTAATAATTTAACAAGCATTTAAAAAACGAAAAAGCTCCACCCCCTGTTCATTTTGCACACTAACCCTCGTGGTTGCTTCTGATTAATCATTGCAGATTAAGAGGAAAAACGGTTTATTTCCATCTTTTTATTCTACAAAAATTACGATTGAATTTCTATTTCCATTTTGAAGATGACTAAAATTATGCAAATCAATAAAATTGGTACCTCCTGCTGCAGAGTTATTACTCAAGGGCACTCAGTTCGAATCCCAGTGATGACTGGTCGATACGAATTCAACACCCGACCTACACCAACCACTGTGCTGAAGTAAAATATCCTCAGTAGTAGATGGGTTATAGGTTAGAGTCCCCTTTCTGTCTGACTAACCATGGAAAGCTTTCGCGGTTTTCCTCTCCATATAACTCGAATGCGGGTTAGTTCTATCTAAACGTCCTCAACGAAGGCAAAAATTTCTTCCAATACTGGATCCTGGAGTTCTCTTGTCTGCTGGATTGGGTTCAAATTTACAAGGCTACGGAATTGAATATTAGTAGTCGTAAACTCAAAATTGGGTGAGCTGTTCAATGAGTGTTATAAAAAAAAACTAATTATTTTGCCGCGATAGCTTGGTTGGTAGGGCTATGGACTCATGTTCGTGAAAATGGGTGTTCGAAATCAGCCGGCTGAATAATACCCAAGTATAAAATGGTGACTGGTGCATGTTAAATCTGTCGCGGTCACAAACTCCACCAAGTTCTTATAACAATTCGTACACGAAATTGATTTTGATGATGTGATGGAGGACTTCGCTTCTCAAAAAGTGCAAAAAGTATTACCTTAAATTTTCGATAAAAATAATGTATAGACGCTTTTATAATTAATTTATATGTTTTTACTCTTAAAATAAAATCATTTTTAAAAATTATTAAAAACTTAAATTTTTTCTCTAAATTCACTAAAAAAGGGCCCCCAATAATGACAGGCCCAGAGCCCCTGTAAACATAAAAATGGCTCTGGTTAGCCGAGATCTGGGAAAGTCCCCATTCGGTCAGGAGAGTGATCCTAAGTTTGGACTCCCTAATCCTAATTCGCCATATCTCGAGAACTTTTTAAGCGACTTGGAAAAAATTTTGCACAGAATTATAAAATTCATTTATCCAGAGATGAATCCATGCAAAAAAATAAAATTTTAGCAAATATTTAATATTATTTTATTAGTATTAGTCGAAATTTTTTTTAATTGTAAGGTAAATAACTTTTTACATTATTTTGAAGTAAATAATTTTACATGGCAAAATACAAAATTTGAGCGATGTTGTTGCTGTAGTTCATTTACGTCGCACTAGAGCTGCACAATGGGCTATTGGCGACGGTCTGGAAAACATCCCTCAGGATGATCCGAAGACATGCCATCACAATTTTGATCCTCTGCAGAGGGGATGGCACCCCCGCTTCGGTAGCCCAACGACCTGAGCGCGAAGTCGAGCACTTTACGGTAGCACAGTTTAACGAGGACCAATACCGCACACCCTCGGTCCCCACGCAGACTGATCCAAGTGGGTCACCCACCCACACACTGACCGCAGCCAGTGATGCTTGACTTCAGTGATCTGCTGGGAACCGTGTCTTAATGATCAGTCCACTGCGGGACACAAAATTTGAGCGAAATTGGTTGAATAGTCCCTGAGAAATCCAATTTTAAAAAAGTCGTATATTTAAAATTTGATTTCTCAGGAACTATTAAATTTTTAAATTTTGTATTTTACCATGTAAATTTCTGTTATTAACTTCTTATTATTCTGTTAAACGACTGTTATTAAATAAAATAATAAAAAAAGTAAATATTTACTAAATTCTTGCATGAAATTATCTTCGGACAAACGAATTTTATAATTGTTTGCAAAGACCTTTCAATTCGCTTGAAAAGTTCTTGAGATAAGGCGAAATTTGCAAGAAATAAAATTAACATAAAAGGGTCCAAATTGTGAGGAACATATTTTGGGAGTCTAAATTCCGATTACGTCGAAAAAAAGGAACGTTCATTCAGAGAAAGAACTTTCTGTGTCTAATTTCGTAACTTAAAATATCGTCTGCACCAATTAATTAACATACTTAAGGTCACCCCTTTGAACCAATAAGATTGAGTCCTAGAATGTAAAGATAAGATCATTAGATCAAAAGTTATTCAGGGAGGTTCATTTTTGTTTTTGGTGCACTGCTCAACCATTTTTGGGTAGTGGGCCAACAAAAAATAGGAAACATTATGTTGAGGGCCAATAACATAAGCAGCCTGTAATCTTGTAAATTCAGAGAGAATTTAGATCCTAGTTTAAAATACTAACATGAATTACATATGCATAACTAAATTTTTCATAAAGATAATCTTAATTACTCTAAACATAGTTGGAAGGCTAATACGCAAAAATGAGAACAGCAAGAAAAAAGAAAAAAAGAAAGTTACAGAATTTCATTTACCTCAAAGTACTTTTACACTATTATTTTAGTCAGAATTTTTTTTTTTTTTACTGTTCCTGTTAAAGTATCTGATTAACACGATTGAAACTTTAAAGTCATATGCTTTAATATTGACTTTGCGAATAAGGAATTCTCCACATTTATTTGTAAAAATTCATATGAAATTAATTCTTACTGGTAACACTGAGCCATTGCCATGAATAGGATTTGAAAGAAAAATGGTCATAATCTGGTACTTTGAGAAAGACTGAAATAAATTAGTCACTTACTGTGCAAAGCTCAGCCGCCAAACTATAAATTTTTTTTTCGTATTTGTCTACCTTTTTATTAGTATTTTAGACAGTTCAAGGGCCACTTTTGACCTGCAGGTCATCCCTGAAACAGACTATAAGTTTTCTTTTCGGTAGATATTTTACAATTTATTCTTAATTCTAGACCGATACCACACACCCTTGGCCCCTTCTTAGCCTGATAAAAATAGTCACCCACCAGCACACTCAGCGCAGCCAGTAATGCTTCACTTCAGTGTCCGCCTGGGAACTTTGTCTTATGATCAGTTCACTATGGTACTGATTGTATAACACAGTTCCATGAAAATTGTTTTCATTACTTGATACAAAAAATTTGCTAAATTTTCAATTTCACCTGAAATTTCGAAAGTTTTTGATAAAGCTTCCATTACTGTTTCTTTTTTATAGCTGAGAATATTTTCATCCTAAAAAATAACTATAGACACATATATAGAAATACTAAAACAGAATAATAGGTTTCCATAAAAAGATTAACAAGATATTTTAAGATAATTTCCATAAAAATGCTTAACAAGAAAAAAAATTAACAAGATATTTTCCATAAAAGATAACAAGATTATTTTTTTTTCATTATTTAACATACCTAATGCGAAAGGTAAGGGCACTATGTTCAATTTTTGCAAAATTAAGATAACAGTGGAAAATTAAAGAAAACATATATATAAGAATCATTCAATTGGTTTTAAAAAATATAACATAGTGTATTTTACCTCTGAACATGTGTATATTTCACACTGTAAATCAAACGTAATTTTCTTATAAGAAAAATTTATTCAGTTTCAAAAACAGAAAAACATCAAAATAAATTTGTATATAATTAAAAATCATAATTAGCATTTTTAATTCTTAATAATAAAACATGAGCAGTAGTAGTTTTATCCATTCTCTGCAATATATACATACAAAATTTTATTTTCAATGCATCCAGTGAAGAGTTTATCAAACCTTCAAACCAACCAATTATGAATAATGCACGATTAACAAGATTTTAGACAACACTAGCAAAGCATGGTTAGCAAGATTTTAGACTGCACCAGCAAAAACAATAAGAAATGGTTTCTTTTGTACTAAGAACTGTTTTTACAAAAAAATTATATTTTTTAAAAAATATTATAAGCTGAAAAAAAGGGTAATATTTTTGTTTCATGTCCACAACTATTTTTTGGGCTATGTTGTATTGCATTACATACAAGCTGTTAAAATCAAAAATGAAATTCATCAAAAATCACTTCCAGTTGTTTCACATATTTCAAGAATAACAGAAATAAAGTTAACACAATATGTAGCTTACTCAGTGTTTTCACTACAGCGCGAGAATCTCGCATATTTTTTTCTTTTCTCGCATTAAAGAATTATTACCGCGAGAAATTCGCGCATTCTATAAATCAATTTGAAAATTCGCGAATTTCTCGCATTTTGGAAAAAGCTTCGAATTACGCCATTTAGAATAAAATCCGTTTCACTTTTCTTCCTGGATCTTTCATTATATTTCCAACATCTGCCCCGTTCCATCTTCCCTATTTACCAGTATTGTTCAGAACCTTTTCGAACAACAGAACACAACCACGGAACCCCTTTCAGAACACATTTCTCTGCAACCACGTGTTTATACCGTAAGGTTTCTTCATCTAAGATATTCAAATTTTTTACGTGCTAATGTAAGATGGACAAATACCTTGTAAAGGCAAAATCTTCTATGATGATGCACCAAAAATATTCAATGCTTTAAAAAATAGAAGACGTTAAAAATTTATTATAATTAAAGAAATTATTTTTTTTTCAAGAGTTTTTGCGTTTTTTTAGTTTTTAGAAATCTCACTTAACTTTTTGAAATCTCACCCTGTTTCTGAGAAAGGGTGAGAAATTCTCACCCATTTTTTTTTTCTATGATGAAAACACTGTTACTAGAAGGAGAACTTGTCATTGCGACGAATTTGAAAAGAATAATACAATGGATATGAAACAAATAGAATATAAGAATAGAATGTATACTTTAGTCAAACTTGTTTATATAGTGCCATTGCAATATTATCAGAAATTCAAAAAGCAAAAATTCAAAGTTAAACATTAAAAAATAAAAAGACTATAAAAATGAATAGAAGATATAACACCACAAGAATTTGATCAGGAAAATAGAAACAGGCACAAGAACAACAGGAATTTAGAACCTATTCAATGATTGCAGAACTTTTACTCCTTGTCCATTTGCACTGTCGTGGTGTTGTACCCTTGACCATGATTAGTTAGTGTTCCTTTGACCACGTCAAAGGTACAATATTCCTGATTGATTGACGACTTACTTGTCCATTAACTGGTCAGAGGTACAACAACCAGTTAGAAGTAAATATCATAGTTAAAAGCAAAACTATACGTTGTACTTTTGACCACATTACTATTTTTAAAAAAATTTAAAATAATAATAAAAATAAAACTATGGTCTTAAAAAAATTATATATGACAAAACACACATGATACTGATTAAAATAAAATTAGAAAATTTAATTTAACTTCAATATTCAAATTGAAAAAAAAAAAACTTTTTACTGCAGCAACCATCAACAAATTTTAATTTATTTCTTGCTGTGTTATAGTTTAAATAACTCAACACGTTATATGATTCACAAAAAGAAAGATGAGAGACCTAACTATGTTACTTTTCATTATTTATCGACATAAAATTTGAGAACAAAATAAACTAAAAAGTAGAAGAGTTAAACCTTTTCATAGAAAAAGAAATGCTAACACTCTGATGCTTAGCTTCAACAAATAACATAGTTTTAGGTAATACAATTTAAATGTAAGAGAACTTAAATAAAACCTCTATGTAAAGTTAAGTTCCCCCATATTTAAATTGTGTAGATACTAAAGACAATATTGGTTATATGCTGCTTTTATATTTTGATTTATAGCATTTAAAAACTTCGGTCTTCATTTTTGATTAATTCCACTTTTTAACTTTTAACAGTTTTAACTCATAACAGTTTCATATAGGTAGGTATTTTTTTACAATCATTTAAAATTTTTAAGTATAACACTTTATAAAAAAAAAAGCCAAAAAAATCACCAATCAATTATTGTACACATTTCACTCTTTTCTTAAATGGTAACATCTAATATGCAATTTGATTATAATATTTTTCTATGATAAAACATGTTGAAACAATTCAGCTTTAACTCCCTATTTTTTTCCACTCTAAAATCAGTAGTACAAAAAGAAAAGATTATTTCAGCATAGACGAATTAAAAATTATTAGCATGAAAAAATGTTTATTAAATAATTACATTGCTACTTCTGAGTGCTTTCGATTTTAATAAGACAAAGAAAGCCAAGTACAATGTGAAACAGCGAAAGTTAATAACTAGTAATCTTTACAAAAAACTGATAAATTTTAACAATATATGCTTTATATGCTGGTATATATAATAATCAATATAGAGTTTAATAAAAACTAAAGCACTTTAAAAAAATCAGTGATTTTTTAACTAACTTCGTCAAATTTGAATAAGACTACAAAAGAATTCAAACTAATTGTACAAGTGAATAAATGGTTTGAATGAAGTTTGTTAGTTCTATTAGCCGGGCGCAAGCGAAAAGTCACCAAAAAAGGTATATCTTCAAATTCCACTGATTTAAACAAGGATAATTCAGTATCATCATCTGTTGCATCAACTAGGATTGCCAAGGCACCAAAGGTATTTTTACTTGAAAATTTAAAACAAAAATAATAACGCAACAAATTAAACCTTTTTTGAGTTGGTCCCATTCTGTGATTTTTTTTTTTCTTTTTTTTTTTCTCATGAGATGCAACCCAGAAGTTGACAAGACTTGACGATTATTCTGCAGCAAATTACAATACGGAAATCTTTCTTTTTAAACGCATTAAAATTAGTAAAAAAATTTTCAAAAATGATTAAATTTCCTTGCACCTAGGAAACAAAGAAGTGCCAGTTTTTTATCCAAGTTTTGAATCTGTGTTCATTTTATCTAGGTTTGCATGCAAGTCTTTTACCATTAAGCCACATAATTTTTAAATAATTTTTGATCATATCTGAAATTTAGTTAAAATAAAAATCACAATAAACAAGTTTGACTGTATTAAGAAAGCAATAAATAATGAAATTAGGCTAGGTTAATATTTTTACTTGTATAGCTCAGCTCATTTACAGTGTTGTAAGCATTAACAGCAATAAACATGCTATTATTATCATACTAACCAACGAAATCAAATTGTTTGCAATTACACTGCAAATTGCATATTTTACTTTACGCAGCTACTATTATGTGTTATTGAAAAATCCAAAACTAGATTCAATTTTTAATACCATTAAATCCAGTTAGATTTTTGAATCCATTATGTGAAGATTTTTGCCACAACTACAAAATTTTATTAAGCAAACAAAATTGTTCAAAAAATTATAATACTATTATTATATGTTATAGTTTAAGTGATAAATCTGGTGGTTATTAACAATAAATAGCTATTATTAATAATCATCAGATATTAATAACTGGCAATTATAAATATTAACTGATTAATTATATTGACTGTAACATAAGATATATTATACATAAGTATTATTTTTTCTTAAAAATTTACTCTGCAAGCCATATGAATGATCATGAGCAATAAACTGAAAAATTCAGAAACACATATTACATCAAAATTGATTTAATTTAATATGAAAAATCAAATTTCTATTATTTTCGTAATTTTAATTTCCGACAATTTAGCACAGTTTTCAACTCTTCTGCTTCCAAGTTCAGTTTTCAGACATCTGAAACCCTAACCTTGGATTAAATGTTAATATGGTTAAATACATAACTTTAATTAGCTTTTGCACTTGTTGAAGGACCTGTACTTATCTGTCCTTGGTTATCAAAGAAATTTTCCATACCTTTAGGAAGTTCACTTTCACTTAAAAATCGTGTTTCTGTACCAGTTGTTCCTATCACTAAAATATTCCGTTTTAAATCAATACAACATTGATGACGCTTTAACATATCCAATCCCAACAACATATCCATAGTTTGTTCTTCTAAGATAGAAAAAGATGACTGTAAGAAAACATCATTGATTTGTATATGACCCAGATGAACGCGACCTATAATTTTTTGAACACCAACACCTTGGGCTATACCAGCCCACCTTTTATCAACCAGTCTCATAATACCACAGCGTTCAGCACATCTTTGACTCATGATCGTGGTTTGAGCGCCACTGTCAATAAAAGCTCTCACAGGATGGCCATTCACTTTACAATTTATATAAAGCATTGTTACTTGTCCAAAGCTCTCGGGATGATATTCGATGGCAGCCTCCATATTAGTATCAACATTTTCTTGTCGAATTTCTTCAGCAATCATACGTTGAGTTTCAGGATCAAAGGGACTAGCATTTAACATCTGAATTCTCTTCCTCTCCCTTTCAGATTTCTCTGTTAATTGCGTATTTAAAACTTCTGCAAACAACTCTTTATTACCAGACAGAAACGCATCAGCTAATTTGGGATTATTCTGTCGCAATAAGGCTAAGCTCTCTGGATGGTTTGTAAGTTCTAGCCTCATACGTTCAACTCTATCCAAGTTATTAGAAACTGGAGGAGCAGTGGTAGGAGAAAGTATGCTTCCTGATGAAGAATTTCCCGGTGAAACTGCATTTTGTGGGAGTCTTATGGAGCCAAAGTCAATTCCTAAATCTGGTAACTGACTGGGTGTCGATTGTAACATCATTTGTTGCACAAGGAGGACATCACCTTCCTGAATTCCGTAACCTATGAGATCCTTTTTATTGTCTAAAAGTGGCCTTCCTTCGTGAGTTATTACCATTCTTTCAGAACTGAAACCTACTTCGCATTCGCACAAAGCTTTAAAATTTTCTAATTCCATATCAGGACTTACTTCTAAGGTAACAATCAAATCGGTCAAAGTCGTAACTGTTACTTTCATCTTTAACTATCTTAAATTACAATCAACTTTAAAATTATAAGACAATACGTATCAATAAGTAAACTAAATGCTCGTGTAGAAAACAACCAACATGAAAACAAAAAATTCTGAATGAGCTTTCCTTTTTTTGATTTCATGTGTTGCCAACTATTGTTTTCTTTTCAGAAATGAAATCTGACACCAACTAAAGGCATTTTCTCATATACGCAGTGAAATGTCACCAATCAAATTCCCTGTTTGTAAGCAATCTAGATTTTGATTGGTGAAATAGGTCTCCATGTGAAACTTAAAAGCTTTAACAAGAATAAACCTTATGTTATGGAAAGATAACAAAGTGAGACGATTTTAACTGCTGGGTTAGCTGTATTTTTATTAGAACAGAAATAAAAAGACTTAAGCGTTTTCGATTAGGCAAACAAACAATTATAGAAACAAAGTTGTTTAACTGTTAAAAATAATTGGCTTTTTCAGTCTGAGAATATAACTGATGTTTAAATTATGGCGAATCGAACTGTAAAAGATGCTCAATCTATTAGAGGTACTAATCCTCAATATTTAATTGAAAAAATTATTCGATCCCGTATTTACGATGCCCGATACTGGAAGGAAGAATGTTTCGCTCTATCTGCCGAGTTACTTGTGGACAAAGCTATGGAGTTGAAATTTGTTGGCGGTGTCTATGGTGGTAATATAAAACCAACACCTTTTTTATGTCTAGTTCTTAAAATGCTTCAAATACAACCGGAGAAAGATATTATCATCGAGTTTATTCGTCAGGAGGATTTCAAGTACGTGCGTGCATTGGGAGCTTTTTACATGAGATTAGTTGGAACATCACTGGACTGTTACAAATATCTAGAGCCTCTTTACAACGATTACAGAAAACTTAGAAAGCAGGATCGCCAGGGAGAATTCCAAGTTGTATTCATGGACGAATTCATTGATGAACTTCTTCATGAAGAAAGGCTATGTGATGTTATTTTGCCCCGAATCCAAAAGCGACATGTTTTAGAGGAAAATAATGAGTTGGAGCCTAGAATAAGTGCTCTCGAAGATGATTTGGATGAACCAGAATCCGAGGATGAAGATCTAAAAGAAAATGTCACCGCTGTTGTCCATGAAAAATCTCGAAATAAGAGCTCAAATGAAAGTTCTCGCAAAGAAAAATCCTCTGAATCCCGTCGACGACATAGCCCTTCTCCTCACAGACATCGTTCATCAAGACACCAAGAACGAGAAAGCGGCAGAAGGCACAAACGCAGCAGATCAAGAGAAAAGCACCATTCAAAGAGAGACAATGAAAGGCGTCACCGTTCACGGTCACCCAGAAAAAAGAGGGATCATGACCGTAAAAGTCATCATAGCAAACATTAACATTATTTCACAGCTTAAATTTTAAAAATAAAAGAATACTACATTATAGTAATGTTTCATGTGTTGTCATTGTGATGCTTAAAATGTAAATAATTTCCTACACTCTTAGAAAAAATATTTTACAAACCCATTTCATGATTTTTTAATGGAACTGCCTGATTACATTATTCTTCCTTTTGAATGTTTCTATAAATATTGCCTGTTTAAATAGCAAATTCTTTATTGTGCTAAAAGTGAGGTGTATTAGATTTAATAATACAAATTTTTTTTTTCCTTTTTTATCTACGAAACTTCTTAGAAAATAAGTTTAAATGTTTCAATCAGTTCATTTTGATGAATAAATAATTCAGATTCATGCAGTTCGTGTTTTAATTCATATTTGTTAATTATCTCCAAAACTGAAGCATTTTCCAAAATATTTTTTTCAAATCATTAAAATTTTAACAATCCTGACAAGCTCTAAATAAGTGATCAAAAGAGATTAATAAAATATAACACTATTCTGTAAAAAAAAAAAGTTTTCTTATGATTATTCAAAATAATTTTGTCAAAATGCCTTTAATTTCCACAACTCTTGATAATTAAAGATTTATGTTTAGATTTTGCATAAGATATAATTCATAAGTATACTTTAAAAAGCTGAAATCATTAACCCTTTCGGGGACAGTTAGATAAAAACTGTCCCATCTATTTTAGGCAAAAATGTATAAACCATTAAAATTGTAGAAGTTTTTATCTTTGAAATAGCAAAAGGTTTAAAAAAGAATAATATTCCTCATTAATGATATCTTTTTTATACTCATTTATATTGTATTAACAATGTGGGCAATTATTAAATTACATTCATAAATACAAAATTTTATCAAAATCTCCTATTATTGCTTGAAGTGTAATTTATGAATTAATATAAGTATTCGGATAAATAAATTTTTTTTTATTTTAAAACACACTATTTGAATACTCCATGTGTTGAAGATATATTTTTAAATGTTTAAAATGCTTACTTAAGTACTATGTCTAATCGAGTTTTGAGTTTCAATATAAGTTATTTGTTAAGACAGAAACTAACATACCTCCTTAAACTTATGTTAGTAGCACATTTTTCTTTCGATTTAATGTTTTTCTATTTTATAATTAAATTCAATAATTTTTTAATATTTATTGCATATTATAGTTATGTCTAACTCTAACTATTTTAAGTGATTTAAATAGCCTTTTTTTATCAGTCGAGGATCGATACAATGACCTCTGTGGTAAAACAAAAATTTACACTATGTCGCGAGGACACGTAACTAGAGCATATATTTAATTATAATTCATAAATACTAGACTTTGAAAAGAACATTAAAATGTATGACATCAAAAGAATAATTGGCATTAAGCAGTTTATGATGTCAATATTAATATAATATATTAAAGGCAAAAAATACAGTTCATCTTTTTCAAATAGCACTTTTTAATATTGTGCATAGTTTTTAGAAAATCATTCAAGGCTTTTTCTAGATTTTGAAATTTTCTTTCACAGAAACGATGGCTTGAAATTTTGACACGGTTTTCAGTCTTCAGAATTACATCATTATTTTTAATTATTATAAACCTAGTGCTTTGTAGGAATTAGGATAATTTAAGCAATTTGTGGTTTTCATGTAATTTTTCTATCATCCATTTCCTTTAAAAAATTTAATTTCTGTTCTAAGCATATAGCATTAATCTGTTTATGAGCAGCTAATTCCACTAAAAATCATACGTCCAGAGAATTATTAAGTCTAAGCAAAAAAAATGGGAATAACTTTTGTTTTAACTCTACCACTTCTTACAACACTTTACAAAAAGAGAAAATGCTATTTTTAAACAAACTTTGATTGATGAATTTGTTAAACCCTTTGAAAAGAAATTTGCATATGACGGTATGCCATCACGAGGATGCAATATGCATTTCAAATTCTCAGTAATGGAAAATAATCTTTTTAACTGCTGAATACACCCAAGACCTTCAAAAAACAGCTGGTCTGTCACTCTTTCTTCATTCATAGAGATTCACGATGCAGCAGTAACATCAATAGTAATTTTAATGATTTCCTTCAGATCTTTGCTACCTGTTGACTCATTGCCAGTGGAAAAATGCTAGTTTTCAAATCGCAAAAATGTGTAACACCTGTTTTTGGAATGGTTTTCTCGAAATAAAAAAAAATTAAATAACATTTTGGTCGCTATATCAAAATGAACGTTTATTCTGCAACATTCTAATGGGTGTTAAAAGGACATGCTATCTATGAAACAGCAAACACGACATTATGTTTTGGTGTTTATAATGAAAGGGTCACAGAAATGGGGGTCGTACTAAAGAGCGCAATATGTATGATTTCAATAAAAATATAATATAAATATTAAAATTACCTGCCAAACAAAATCGTTATGCCTAAAAAAAAATTTTAATACAGTCTGCACCATTTAAAAAAATACCACTGGTTCCAGCCAACTCTAGGTGAAAAAACAGCTTATTTCATAATAGAGGTGGTACATTAGTCAAACTGAAATATAATGGCGCAACAGCTCACAGTGGGTCTTGGCTACTCATTTCCACAGGGTTTTAAAAATCTTGTATTTTTCATTTTATATTAAGACACGTGAAATTCGAATTGCACATTTAAATAGACACTTATTGTAGCAATCAATTTGCACCAATAGTATAGTAATTCGTGTAATGTTTCAGCAGTTGTTCCTATTGTTGATTTTTACATGATTTTTTAAGATCCCAGTGTATTTCATACTATAAGGTAAATCAGAATCTCTTATTAGTATATTGACTTTTTAACACAATGATTCTATTTTTTATTTAGTTGCAAATCTGTGATTTCGCCGTTGATATTTTTTTTTTTTTGTAGTTTTTGCCACGGATTTTCAATTTATATTTTTTTCTCAATTTGATGACTTACAAATTATGAAAAAGAAAATAATTAGTGCCCCCTACAGAATGCGTAAACAGCATTCATCATGTTAGAATACATAATTATTTTACATATATTTATCTTAGTTATAATATTTCTTATTTTTTCATGAATGATTTTATTACTTTTAGTCCTAAAAAAAGCAAAATTTGAAATCAAGACTTAAGAACTAGCAACTAGGTTTCTAAAGAGGTCTTTGATCACTAACATTTTTAATGTTAGCGACTGTTTAAAAATAGTTAAAGTCATTTTAAACAAAATTGAAATAAAAATATTAGATTAGATTCCTTAGATCTGAGTAGTTATATTTATAATTATGCGTTAATTAATTCAATTTAATATAAATTTGTACACATTTTATAGCAAAATATAAATTCTCTCCATTTAAAAAAAAATGGTATTAAATGCAGGGTGCGCAGGTGTTTTTAAAAAGTGCGTATTTTCGTATTATAAAAGCCTTTAAAGGTGACTATTTCATTGGGTGTTTTTAAAAAGTGCTAAATTTTCCCTTTTTCAAAATGAGATTTTTCCTTCACTATGTTGATTTTCGCTTCGAATAATGCAAAAAGACACAGTTCACATTCAACATTTTCACAATTAATTCAACCCCAATCTATTTCGGAGTATTGTCAGTGCCTAGCGTATGAAAACGCCATTTGTTTTATATGATTCAAATTTTCATTGTCAAAACCAATGCTCAAACGTTTTTTTTTTTTTTACTTGACGGTCCAAACAAGATAAAACCGTCAATTGTCAAAAACTTTCCAATACTGCCCAATTATGATATTTTTTCAAAGTGCTTAAAAATATTTTTTGAGTGCTTGAAAAGTGCTTAAAAGGTGCTTATTTCTTGTTTCATAATTTGGCTACGCACCCTGAAATGAGACTTCACTTTATACAAATTTTTAGAGAATTAGATCTAAGAAAAACTTTCTAATAGAAAAAAAAATTATATTTTCAAGCATCTTATTACATTTTGACAAACAAACTAGAGCTGTGCTGTACAAATAACTGATGCAAACCAGAGCCACAATTCAAAGAATTTTTTTTTTAAAAGAACATTAGAAAAATAAAGATTAATTAATAAATAACACCATCAACAGAATAAAACAAATTTTATTTTAATGATAGATCAAAAAATATTGAAGAACAAGTATATGCCATTTCATAACTTGTAAGCTCTAAACATAAAACTATTTTAATAAATGCGCAAAAAAAATAATGAAATTTCATATAATTTCTAGTTAAATAATAAAAATTTCAATCTGTGTAAGTTTTATAGATCACTATTGAAAATTTACTTATTTGTTTTTTACTTAATTTTTGATCTAAAAATAATACAGATTATTTAAATATATATATATTTATATCAATCTTTTTATCGATTTAACCAAAATTCAGATTGGAGTNAATAATAAAAATTTCAATCTGTGTAAGTTTTATAGATCACTATTGAAAATTTACTTATTTGTTTTTTACTTAATTTTTGATCTAAAAATAATACAGATTAATTAAATATATTAATATATTACAGATTAATTAAATATATATATTTATATCAATCTTTTTATCTATTTAACCAAAATTCAGATTGGAGTGGAAGAGTATCATGGTTGCATTTCAGAACAGAAAACTGATGTTTCTCCTTGAAATTCAGTATAGAAACTGTGAGGGAATTTTTGAACACTTCAGAAAGAATAACTTAAAGAAAATACCAAAAGCAGGACAAATCAAGCATGTATTTAAAGTAAATAAAGAAGTAACTTAGATATTTTCCACAGGCAAATTAAACCCAACTTTATAGTTATTTTCATAGCTGAACAATTAGTGCATCTTAATAATAGTAAAACTGCCTCCGTATATCACTTTCAATACTTTTTAACGGCAAAAATAGTATTGATGGATAAATAAAAGTTAACAAGAAGCAATATACATAAATATGCTGAATTATACATTAAAATAAACTTAAGAAAACTAAAATTTTGCACTTGGTTGATAAAAAAATAATATGCTTTTAACATAACAAAATAAAAATATATAAACTGGGAAATTAGTAGTTAATTACAAAATAATAAATTTTACAAATACTTTCAAAGTGAAAACTTTGACAAATGTTTTACTTATCTAAACATTAAGTTTCATCCCCTTTGGAATTGTATATTATTGTATTAAATAATTTTTTTATGTTTAATACAACTAAAAGACTCCTGAACAAGAGTGAAAAAGTCAGAAGCAGTTAAATAAACAATAAATCTAATCCAATCTTCTAAAGTTAAATATGGAATGTTTTTACATAATGTTAATATTAATGAACACAATATAATTAAAGCAAGTAAATATGATAGTGTTGAAACATTCAGAAGTAAAATTGAGATCATTGCATCCAGTGATATAGATAGCAGTGTAATCATTATCTAAGAAATTAACAGTCAATTCAAATATATATCTAAATAATAAATAAAATATTTCAATTGTAATATTTGTGTAACTTAAAAATAAGTAAATTGTTTAATACCAGTTTTAAACAGTAAAAGATTCAGCAAAGATATAAAAATATTTAAATAAGAAAAACAGTTCTGGTTAAAAACTTCTTGCAACAATTTTATGAGATAAAGCAGAAATATTTTCTACCAGAGTTCCAGCTTTTAGTCCAAAATTTTTCTGACAGGTGGCACAATAAGTTTCAGTTTACGCTTTTTTGTATAAAATTCTATTATTCAATTACAACATGTGATTGTGGCTGGATGATGGATACATTGACAATATTGTTATTTTAATTCCGTGACAGATTTTGAAAAAAAAAATTTTATTTTTCAGTTTTTCTTTAGTTTACAAATTGACCAATTTTTAAAAAAAGAAGAAAAAAACTTACGGGAACAGTGCTACCTATTAAATAAAATTTTGAACTAAAGACAGAAACTTTGGGAAGAAAAATTTATGCCCTATCACATCAATTTGCTTCAAGAATTATCCTTTTTTTTTAACATTAACCTTTTTCTTACAACTAATTATAAATATATATATAATTTGATGATCTTTAATAAGAAGAAGAAAAAAAACAGTACAGTAAGAAAGGATATTTTCTATAGATCCAGGTTTACAATCTTGCATTAAGGTTACAAACTTAAAAATTTTACTTAATTGAAAAAATCAACATAAAAAAATTTGAAATGATTCCAAAAGTAATTTTTCCTGAAGTATGTACTGAGAAGAATACTGTGACAAGCAAATTTTTATAATCGATTTAATTTACTAATATTCTTGTAAAACAAAATTACACACCACTTTTATAATGTGACCAACTGAGCCAGAATACAAATATCATTCTATATACAAACAATGCATTGAAATCTGGAAAATTATTGTGAATGCCAAGAACAAATTTTTAACAATTATTTAATGAATTTATAATACCATTCAACAACACAGTTTTAAGGGGTCACAGTACCTTTAGGACAATTTTCTAACAAAAATTATAACAAGCATTTTTTTTTTGGTGGCTTTACATGCATATTAATATGACTAAATTTTTTTAACAGTTAAAATTCCCAATTTTTAAATATTTTTTTTAAACATTTTTCTAAAACAATTTTTTTTTATCGTAATTATTATTGTTATAAATTTGTGTATTAACTTATTTATATATCAATATTTTCTAAGCTTAATTGATTGCAAAACTTGCAAAAAAATTAAACATTTAACACATTGAACACTGAAATATAAAATGAAGTAAATATTTAAGTAATTTTTAAAATGTTTATTCAAAGCACAATTTTAGAACATCATGCCGATTGTAAAAAAAAATTTACTTCCAAGCTTTTTATTCTATAAAAAAAAGCCGTAAAGATTCAAGTATCATGTAGGCACCAAAAAAGCATCAATGTCAAAAAAGCACTTTCACATTTTGTTTTTGCAGTAAAAAACACGGTTTTTATGCTTTAAATCGTTCAAAAAATTATAAATAATTTAATTAGAGAGATAAAAAAAATCTCAAAGTGTGCATTGAATCACTTGAAGTTTTAATATAAGTAATAAAAACTGTTTTGTCAACTTTTGGGCAAAGTGACCCCTTAATGAAACCAAATATTTAAAAAAGATTAATAAAAAATAAAATTACTGTCAAGAATAAAGATGCAAGAAAATGGTGGATTTTAAAACACAATATTGTTAATATATATAGTCATTCAGTGATTTTTAATAGGTGAAAACAGTTTAAGAAAAACCATAAACATAAAAATCAGATGTGTGCAGTTAACTCGTAAGCAGGGGGAAAAAATATACTCAGAGCATTGACACAACAGACTATATTAACAACTTCTTTTATAAACAACTGGAGTAAATATACATATTTACACTAATTACAAGTATAAAAGGCCTCTAATGAATTTACCATCAATTCTATAATCCCAACAAAAGTGTGAATTTTTTCCTTTTGCATACTTTTAAAAGGCTGTAATATAAACTGTTTTAAATCTAAAGCAAAGACAATAAAAAATTTATATTATCTTGCTTGATCAAAAAAAAATTTTTTTTTAATCTTTTGATATTCTACTATTGTATTAAAATTCTTATATATATACTATTTTTAATCTAAAGCAAATAGTTTTAGATGGAGGAATAAACAATAAAATACAAAGTTCCCAATAATATACAACTAAACTATGCAATATCTTGTAAAAAAAATTTACAATTAAAATTTGATTTTTTTTTTCTTCCTTTAAACAAAACACTTATATTCAAAAACGTCAAAAAAAACAAAATGTACACAAAATTTCTTCCTTTTTGTAAATTTAGTAATAAGAATGATAGTCATTACATAATTAAAAGAGAAGAAATTTAGAAGCAAATAATACAGCATGTTTTACTTGATTATACTATTAATTACATATCTAACTGTATATGCAAATGCTGCAAATCCAATAATAACAGCAACATTAGTGAGTGCACTTAAAACAGCTTGGCCTTTTTCAAACTGAGAACCATTTGAGCTACGAGTAGAATCAGATCTTATATCAGAGTTCCTATTATTATTCAAAAGTTCGAGTTCACTTATGACTTTTCTAGAATCCTAAAATAAATAGGATCAAAAATCAATAATACAAAAGAAAAATACAAATTGCAATTCATTCATTATATGATAAAAACAACTAAATTAAAAAAACAAACATGATATATGGTACTTGGAGTTTTAGCTTGAGGGTTAAAGAAATAATATGACAATAAAGGTCATTCAAATCAAAAATTCACTAGAAAATCAATGTTAAGGTCACCTGTAACAAAACTACATAACCCACAAATTTTAAGCAAACAAAACATAGCATAAGATGATGATTATATGCATTAAAAAAATAGTAGTCCAGGATGGTCATAGCTTACAATTTTTAAAAGCATTCAATTAAAAATGTTTTAGTGCAAACAAAATGTTTCTTCAGTCGAACCCCGCTATAGTGAACCGTCTGCGGACTCAGTAATCTGTCCACTATAACCGATGGTTCACTATATCCAAATTTTTTGAAGAATATTTTTTGCATAAGACAGTTGAATGATTGAAAAATGGCTTTGCAATTTTGCATAAGTCATTTAAAAATTATTAACTAATTAACAGATAATAAAGCAAAAATTGATGGAAAAAGTAATTACGTCGCTAAATATTAGTTTTATTTTCACTTTTTATGAAAAAATTTTGTGATATTTGATTGAACACAATTTGATTTTAAATTGAATTCATCAATTTTCTTATCGACAATGTGCAAAGAATGCAAGATTTTTACATTTTGAACAAGATTTCGAGCCATCTTGACAAAGCATCTTCTCCGTTTTCTCTTTCAGCTCCACGCAGTTTTTTCGATGAAACCATGTTTTTGTCGTATGCCGCAAGAATTGCACTTCAATTTTGACAAGGAAAATTCCTTACACAGTGTCGATTGATTGGTTCCATCATCAATACGCTTTACAATTTTAACTTTGTCCTCTTTTATCATCATTTTCAATCANGCATTAAAAAAATAGTAGTCCAGGATGGTCATAGCTTACAATTTTCAAAAACATTCAATTAAAAATGCTTTATTGCAAACAAAATGTTTCTTTAAATACTTATTATATCTATGCAATCCTCATTTATTTTAAATTTTTATTAAAATGTAAGTCCTTTTTGAAAAATTATAACTCTTTTATTGTTACAAAAAAAAATAGTCACCAGAATTAAACCTTCATCCCAGTAATCATATCATTATGATTCTCCCCTATGGACTAAATTTATTTTGATTTTTAATTTTATAAAAACAATGCTCAAAACATATCCTAATACCCATTATAAACAACTCAAAACAGCAAATCAAATTATCTATTTTTACTATAGTAATACAGGTACAAACTTACTTCAACTAGGTCTGGAAAAAGTTCACAAAAAATAGGATCTTTCAGGTTAAATTTTAGACTTCTTTTGGCTAACAATCGTTTCTGAAAAAAATTATCAGAATTATAACTATTAAATTACAATCTTAAAAAAATAACATAATCCACATGGAAAAGATTTTAACAAAACTTAAAAAAATTATTATAATTTCATTATTATTTTAATGTATTTAAACACTTCTTGAAAACAATTTTAAGTGCTTTAATCCAATTCTTTAAGACAATTTTAAGTTATAAGTAAGAGTTAAGCAAAAGATTCCCACAATTTTATGGCAATGCGGTCAGAATTGTGTATAAGTTATCATGCATTAAGCAAAACCAAAATTACTAACAAATTAACCCTAAATAAACAAATAAAAGATATATGAACAGTCATAAATCAAAAAAAAAAATACACAATGCCTTTTAATGATATTCTAATGGTAATTAGAGTGGCAAAATGAGAAATTGAAATTAGAGTTGTAATTAAATTGCAAAAATTACAATCTAAATAATAAATTTAGTGTTTTAAAAAATTAAAAATTGTTTTATAAATGTTATAAATAATTAAAATACAAAATGCTTCAAAAAATCTTTTAAAACAATTGTAAAATTGATTAAGTAGTAAGTAATAAAAAATCAAACAAATGAAATGAAATGCTACACCAAAATGAAAGCATATTCTGCTGAAATTAAAGTGCAATAAGGTATTTTAATTTTTTTAAAAACTTGACATTAAGAAAAATTTAAATATGTATATCTCAGGGTCTAAAACTCTCGGATGCCTGATCATTACACCGGCTAAAAATTCTTGTCCGCACTCGTTTTAGAAAATTTTACATGTTCTTTCTTTAAATTAAAAGCCTTTTTTTTCTTTTTTGGAAAAAAAAAACAATTTTTTAAACTAAACTAGAACATTCTAGAAATCTTTCTTAGCACTTGGATGACTTCATTGCTTGTACTAATATATTTGCATAAATATGTCTCTATATTTGAATATATTAGTTTTAATTTATCCTGCTATGGTTATTTTTTATTATCTTATTTATTCAAAGATATGAAATAATAATTGCTTCTTTTTCATGCAGGGTTCGTTGATTTAAATCAGCTTGATTTAAATCACGATTTAAATCTTGATTTAAATCAAATGATTTTTTTAAAAAAATCATTAATTTAAATCAACTAAATTTTTTTATCTATAAATATTGATTTTAAAAGTTAAAAAACAGCGTTTTAAATTTTTGATACTTTTATTACTTACTTTAATCAGTATTAAAATTTAATTTAAATAAATTGCTGCATTAGTTAATTTTAATTACGAAAAATTAACGAAATTACTTTCTTGGTGCGTGTTAAATTCCAACACATAAAAATGTTTTGATTCTTGAGATTGAAAGTACAGATTAAAGTAAACATTTAATGCTGTCTTAATATAGACTTGCATAGCTGTAAAAAGTAATTAATAAACATGAATTTTTTTCAAAAAATAATACAAGTAATGTTAATTAAAATTCTACATATTGAATGAAAAAGCGTGAATTAAAATCTACATCATATTTTATTGGTGGAAAATAAGCTTGAGGTTATATTAAAAAGAAATTACCCTAATATGCCAAAAAGGGGCAGATGTTTTTTTCCTAATATAGTGTCATTCTTCCCTTTCAAAGTCTATTTGATGCAGTAGGGTTATTAACTGGTATTTTTTTCTCATAATATGTTTACAGTATCTTTGACATTATCTGATTTTCCATAAAGAAATTTTTGTGAAAAAAAATTCCAATGAGTACATAGATTTTCTAAAATTTTTTTTAGCTTAACTTAATCTATTTTGATATAGAATTAAAAATGAATACTTTAATATAAAAATATTTAGATTAAATATTTATTTACTTTTTTGATGAATGACTACATTTATAAACACAGTCTGCTACATTTATTTTGCAATTTTAAAAATCAAGAGAAAAAAAAAAGAAATCACAATTTTAAATTAAAGTTATGGTTTGCAAACTGAAACTTTGTTTTAATAGTTAAAGTACAGGGTTCTGTCCAAGCCAAATTTACTATCGTTTAACGGTACCTTTACAAATTCAACTTTAGGAAAAATGATAGAATAATCACACAAAATACCTTTTCCTAAAATTTTATTTTTGTGTCTCGTAAGAAATGATAAATCCATATTTTTACTATATTTGTGTTGATTTTTTAATATAATTTTTAATTTTCACAAAATAGGTACCTCTCAGAAAAACCCAGAAAGACCCCTGAAGTATTCCTTAAATTCTCTATTTCATCTAGTCTTTAAATTTTAATCACGCATTTGTTTCAAAATGGTTGCTATGCATTCAAAACTATGTATTATAATGAAATATTATTTTAGTTAGAGCTTCTAAAATATTCTTACAATATAGTTTTAATATTAAGTTAACTTGATTAAACATTTATAAATTTTTTAAATCATAAATTAAAGTTCTTAGTGTATTTGAATAAAAATCAAAAAAATCTGATTTAAATCAAAAAAATCCGATTTAAATCAAAAAAATCTGATTCTTTTGATTTTTTTAAAAAAAATCAAAAAAATCACGAACCCTGTTTTCATGTAATTTCAGAAAAGTAAACAATGTTACCCTAGTTTCCATTCCATAACATGTTAATTAACAGTGAAAGACAACTAAAGAGTGATTAGTGAATGAAAGTATAGGAATTACAAAGAATTTAAAATACAGAAAACAAAATATGAAATAATTGTTAATTTATCTTCGGAATAATAAAATACAAATAAATATGGAAATATTTACTTCATAATCTGAAGTTTCAATACTGCCCAAAGTAGGGTTTTTTTCAACCTATTAATAAAAGACAAGAAATATATTACTGAAATTAGTGTTTAAACAGCCTTACTTCAACACAGTATCAAAAATTGTTTCGCTTAATCTAACTTGAACTACATTCTAATTTGTTTCATCACAATCATATTAAAATCACTAAATATGAAGCATTCGCTACTTTTAAAAATTAGACATAAAGAAAACAATAACAAATTTATTAGAATAAAAGACAATTAAAAATCTTCGACCAGCTTGGTCGCCTTTGCAAACTCACTGTTTCACAGCTCTTCAGAATATGCTATAGCACTTTTCAAGGAGACATTTCAATAAATAAAACAAAAACTCTAAGTGTATACTAGATTCTACAGTTTAACTAATAGTGAGCATAACTTGAGAATTGTGAAAAATTTTAAGGCATTAGCCTAGTTGGATATCAAAGTCTGTTTTAAAGTATGCTTAACATAACCAGAATTTGTTTAAAAAAACAATGAATCAATCTTATAAATTGCCTGACACTCCCAAAACCTCACACAAAAAGGAGAAAAAATCAAGAAAAAAAAGTTCATAAATCAGAAAATCTTAAAACCTTTTAATTAATTGTAAAACCAAATTAAGAAATAGTTTATTATGTTTTAAAGTTTAAATTCAGATAAGGCAGCAAAATAACAATCGACAATTATAAAAATCTATTTAACTCTCCGCAACCAAAATTTTTTATTACATCACTCACAAATTCTGGCAAATCTAAAATCATCACCTGTTGCTATTAACATTTACACAATCTAATTTTGCCACAAATTTTTTTATCTTTCCTATTTGATTTTAAAACATCTTATGACAAAAAATAATGAACAGCTAATGTATGTATTTTGTAAAGAAAAAATTTAAAGAAAGAAAAAAAAAACTTATTCTCTAGGTGCATGAAAGTTTTACTTTTTCTGTGGTTTTTATTAGTATGTCATGTTCAATGTGTTTATATACTTTTAAAAAGCAAGAATAGATCAAATGCATTTATATATGACGCATGTAACAAACGACATATTTATGTGTCGCTTGTTACCACGCACAGCAACCCAGGGAGGACGGAAGTAGATTCAGTCAGTCAAGTTTAGAAGAGAAAAAGAAGGGGTGAGCTACAACACCTACACCGTGGATCTCAGTCAGTAAAAGTCCCTTTCCCTTATTTATTTTTTTACTTTATTTTGTAGTCAAGAAATAGTTTAAGGGTACTGTAAATTGTATCAAATAAACTAAAGAAAATGCTACTAGTGTAATAATCATTAACAAGGTTAAATCTTCATTTTAATTATTTAGAAACACTGGACAAGCATGCACAGTTTTGGATAAACACATACCATAAAACTGAGAAGACCAGTTAAAATAGTGCCAGCTGACCAAGCTGGATTCCAAGTATCAGGGTGAAAATCACTAATACTGAGACAAAGTCTTGTATTGCATTTAAATCTTCCATTTGGAGTGATCATGTAAATGCTAGGAGGTTTGAAAGGAAACTCTGCGGGAAACACTAGTTTACCATGATAAACACCACCTAAATTGGTATTTACAAAAAGAAAAATGTAAGACACTATTCAATTTACCAAATACAGACAAAATGTTATATAGTGATACAAAAGTTTTAAAAAAATAATTAATCTAAAATTAAGCTGTTGCACATCCATAAGATCAGCAGGTCCAAATCAGGATAGAAGTAAATTTGATAATGGCAACACTAGTAGTGGTGTTGTCATAAAAAACCAAGACGTCATTACAAAAATTAAAAGGCATAGTCCAAATCATTGTTCAGTTTTTAGATCAGAACTAATCGCCATAAATGCGGCTCTGGAACACATGATTTCCATTGAGAGTGCAAAGAATATCTGGATTTTCACGGATAGTAAGAGCTCAATACAATATCTGAGCAATTGGCGAAACATCGGTGACAGAACTGGCCCGTATATCATTAACAATTTGAAGACTTTCTCTTCTCACAATGACATNAAAGTTTTTGATCTCTTTTCATTTTAGAATCCTTAAATAAATGTTTTTTTACAAATAAATAAATATTATTATTTGTATAATATTATTATTTACTACAAAAAATTATTATTTGTAATCTAAAATTAAGCTGTTGCACATCCATAAGATCAGCAGGTCCAAATCAGGATCGAAGTAAATTTGATAATGGCAACACTAGTAGTGGTGTTGTCATAGAAAACCAAGACGTCATTACAAAAATTAAAAGGCATAGTCCGAATCATTGTTCAGTTTTTTGATCAGAACTAATCGCCATAAATGCGGCTCTGGAACACATGATTTCTATTGAGAGTACAGAGAATATCTGGATTTTCACGGATAGTAAGAGCTCAATACAATATCTGAGCAATTGGCGAAACATCGGTGACAGAATTGACCCGAATATCATTAACAATTTGAAGACTTAAGACTAAGGTGATTTGAAGACTAAGATTTGTGACTAGATTTGAAGACTAAGGTGATAGGAAACTACAGACAGCTATCCCAAGACTAATCAGGGTCATCCTCGTGGACTAACATTTGTTCAGGGTCAAAAGACTTTCCCTGTATGTCTAAAATGTAAAGTGCACCAGGCTACACCTGATCATTTGCTGCCCTGTATGGGGCTAGAGAAGAATTTTATCTTGGAGGCTCCAGCGATGGTATATGATTTTCTGTCAGTGAACGGTCTTCTGGACTTGGTCTAGCCTTGCTCAGGGCCAAGTGGAATAAGTAACAACAACAACAAATCAGGTCCATGATTTTGTGCACGCTAAAAAAGCAGGGCTGGGTTTTTAACAGGGAAAAAACAGTTTTTCCTAGGATATGGTAAAAACTAGACTTTTACTGGTAAAAGCCTGGTAAATATTAACTTTTGTTTATTTATTCCAGGATATTGTGGTTTGTTACATATAACTGATAGGAATATATATTATTTCTATATTATAATTCATATTAAGAATTATTAGATCATATATATTTACATATATGCATATGAACAAGTAACAAACCATTGGACAGTGATATGATGTAAGCTATCTTCTGAATTGTAATTATAAAACTAATTTGTCATATAACAAGTTGTGACAAATCTTCTAACTATTAAAAACTTAGAAAACTGATTAATGAATTAGATTTTAAATATAAGCTAATAACCATTAATTAAATATTAAATCATAACTACACATTACATTATTGTATTATATCTTTGTATACTATAACTTTATTACAGATGTATGTATATACAGAAAGATCAACTGCGCAAAATTTTGGAACTTCATAAAAAAGAATTAATTTTTTTCTTTTCTTTTTTTTTTTTTTTTTACAAAAGAATAATTGGAACATTAAAAAATATACAACAGTGATATAGGCAAAATAAGAACTTATCTTATCAAACTTTTGTCCTTTATTGTTATAAAATTAGATTAGGAAAAAAAATTTATTTTACTTATTTCACTCCGTATGTGGACTTTTAAGATCAAAATTTTCCAAAATAATCATTTGTTCAAATGAACTTGAAGTATAAAAAATAACTTTTTATGTATGAAGATTTCAATATCAGAGGAACAACAAAAATGAATATCAATTATGCCTACACATTAAAAATAAGAAAAGAACACTGACAATATTACATAAATGCATTATTTTGGCCAAAAGTTAGATTAATTTATAAATTAATATAAGATGAACATTAAAAAAAAATATATAAATACTTTTTTTTTATTTTTTTGAATTCCTATGTTCAGAACTTTTTTAGTACAACTATAAACAAATGTATGACTAACCATCCACTCTTTAAAGGAGTAATCATAGCAATTGAAAAATTAGAATAACTTTCTATATAAACATTAAAAAAAAAGAATTAAAAGTGTATAAAATACACTTATAGATGACATATAAGGTTCAGCATAGGAACAATAGCACAAAGCTAGTGCAGAGAGGCAAGAAAGATTCATGTATAAAAGATTTTTTTATGAATGATGGAAACGCATCAATAAATAGATGATGGTAAGCAAACATTCTGAGAAGTGAATCTTTGAATGTAAATGAGGGTTAAGAAGGAAAAAAACTAATAAGCTTATGAGCATATTTTAACTGTTCATAGACATGACTTTTTCTTTACTATTCGATTCAATTTCTTGACTCTACGTAAATCCTAAATTTTTAGTATAGCCTCCAATTTTCTATGTATAGCTTAAATCAATTTTTATTAGCCTAATATTATTCAATTGAAAAATGCAAGAAATTTTTTTTTCATAGAAATGGAATCGAATCCTTAGCAAATACGACCTTACATGCAATGAAATGTTTCATTTTGAAAAGCCACTAACAACCACAATGTGGTTGTTAGTGGTTTTTCGAAACATGTGAAATTAAAAGATGTCAAAACTTTACCTTTATAAGGAGTGTCCTCAGGGCCCAAAACAGCAAAATGCCTAGAAGAATATTTCAGTTTAAAGATATTTTTTAAATTCAAAAACTAAGTAACTTAATTTTTTAAAGTCAAAACAAAGAATAAATTTAGTAAACATGCATTAAATAATTTTTTTTTTCAAGTTTAAATAAGAAGTGATAAAAACTAAAAACAAACCAAGTTTGCCTTAGAGTATTAAAAATAACAAACATTCTAAACAAGGATTGGTTAGGTGAAAATATTTAAAACAAATTAAATTAATAAATAATATTAATAATTAGTGACATTAAGAACCTATGAGAAACTGAATAGAAGATTTCGTTTTTGGCAAAGGTGTCAGGATTGTTCAAATATTTCTCTAGAGAATACGAAAGATGATTCTCGTATTACGTTTAATTTTCGTAAACTTCATTCTCGCTAGAGTGCAGTTAAAATTTAAACTTTATCCATCAGACAGTTTTATTGTTATAGTCAATTAAAAAAATTAATCTCAGTTTATTTAGAAAAATCTAAAGAAATTGGTTTTGAGCAATTAATAACTTCTATTAAAAAGATTAAAAATCTAAAGAAATCAAAGCCAAGGTGTATGAAGTTAGATGCAAATTTGTTCCAGTATTTGCAAATGGTAAGAATTGCATAAATGAGCTTAAACATGGTAATACAGCTCCAAATGATTAACATTGTTTCATACATCTAATGGAAGTGACTTTCTCTGAAATGATAGATGAAGTACAAGATCTGTTTTGCGTGATTTATCAATTAACGTGCAAAAAATAATTAAGAGAAAAAAAAGTCATCTAGAAAAAAAGAATTTCATAAGATAAAAGTAAGAGAGAGAAAATCGACTCATTAGCTCTCAGTGGAACATAAAAGTAATGGTGTGATTCATTCAGAGACTGTTTGGTGTTTTTTCAGTTTCATCTTCACAAGTATCTTCATCAATACTTGATAGTGAACGAGACATAAGATAGTACTACATTTCAGAAATATTTGAAACAGCCTGTTTTGAAGGTGATCCGCTAAAAAAATGGCAGATGCTGAAATTGGCCATCAAAGTGACGTCCACAGTTTCTGAGGATGCATGCTTAACACCTGTGCTGATTACTTGCAAAAACATTAAAATGGATAAATAGAGAGGAGAGCCTTATGTGTGGTTATTGCACTATATTTGTCAATATATAGTGCAATATATTTGTCAATTGTCTATAGGTAAGATAATTGAAAAATTTTAAGACTTAAGGAATTTTTTAATTTGCTTTTTTAAAGGACTTATTGAACAACCCTTAAAAAACTTAGAAAATTTTGTTATTTTTAAGGAAAATTTAATTATCTGCAAGGGAAAGTTAGAGAATCTAGATACTGGTACAAGGAACTAGCAACTAAAAATTTTCTCATATCCGTTTGCATGTATCTACTTAGAATTCGTAAAAGTTCTTTAAAATTTATGAAATAGAAGAAATTAATATGATACTACAATATTTAGATTCTTGTAAATTCATTAAAATACAAATAATGCTTTATATTAATCTAAATTTTATTATTATTTAGATGAAGTATTTAAGAGTTTCAAGAAAAATTAAAAACATATGATTTATGGATTAAAAAAAATAAGAAGAATAAATTTTTAAAAAAATAATAATAATAGTTTTTACAAAAATTATTAAATGCTACAAATAATATACCATTCTAAAATATTCTGAGGTAATGGATGGGCTTTCACATAAGGTACTGGATCTTTCATCAATCTCATATAATCTTGCTTCAGGCGACGTGTGGCCATATTTTCTCTTCTATTCATTTTGGAATCAAATTTCAGTACACAAATTTCTAGAAATGATAAAAAAGAAAAACTATAATAAAAACAATCAAATAACAAATAATAATAAATACTTTATATATTATGCAAGTGATAAACTTAAAGAATGCCAAAATAAAGCTAAACAAATACTAAATACAACAAATACAATAATAATAAATATAAACAATAATTAAAAATCTCTAAGTCTAGAAAATGTGTGATAAAAATTTCTCTATTCAAAACATAAAATATTCTAAAAAAAATGTAGGTTATAGCAGTAATTTTCAATACATCCTCCCAAACCATGAGCTTAAAAGAATTTTAACAAAGGGATGAATCCTCAAATTAATATGGGTATAGCCTGTACAGTAAGTTACAACTTTTCCTATGACATCAAGCAAGAGAAATTATATCAGCATTTATTAAGGAAACAAGACCTTGGACTACATTAAACCACCAATGGATAATAGTATCAATATAAATGTAAACAAAAATAAATCTTGAGCTCCTTACTATAACTTCCTATTCAACAGTTTACAGCTGCTTATTAGAGCTTATTGTGTGACGCGATATTTAGAAAGAAATAATTTTGCTTTCAAAGAAAGAAAGAAATAATATAATTACCGAGATAAAATTTCCTGCATTTCATAAAATAATAATGATATTAAATACTGCAGCTGAGTTTCAAAAGAAAATTTGTTTTAGTTATTTCTAGATATACTGCTTAAGAGGCTACATGGTTGTTATAGATCCCGGGTTTGATCCTCGAGCCAGGCAACGTTGACTCAGTCTTTCATCCCTTCAGTGGGTCATTAAATGAGTAGCAAGCATGCTTGGGAACTAAACACTCGAGGTTCCACGTTCGGCTGACCACCTAACTGGAACATCTGCTCCTGCATCCTGGAGTTCAAGGTCAAGAAAATTGAGATGGGCACAGTAGGCCTTGCACCTCTATGGGCTGTCGCGCCACAGAGTTTAGTTTTTTTTTTAGGTTGTTATATTTAGAAAGGTTTTGCTTTTTTGGCAGTCCTGATTGAGTTTGTTTATTACTATTTGTTCTTGTTGTAAGCAGTGCAAGTTTAAAATCTATTTGGCACTCTGCCGATTGTAGTTGGTGCAATAGATCATGATACAGAAATATTCCCCCATAATAGGCACACAATTAAAAATTTGAATTGAATATTTTTAGTTAAGATAAAAGTTCATATAAGAATAATATTTACCCTCACCCCTGATCATTTTTATTTGATTGCACCAAAACGGCCACTTACTCTCATTTTAAAACTTTTTTCCTTATACACATTATTTTCTATGTTACTAATACTTCAGCACAAAATTAATGCTACTTCACTTGAAATCATCCATAACTATCGATCAAATTCACATAGATGAGTCAAAATAAAATTATACAGGTATATCACTAAGATTAAAATTTTAGTAAAACAAACAAACCATGTGTGAAAAATTTATAAAAGTACAAATAGAGTTTCTTTTTTTTCTAATTTACCAACTCAGAATTAGTGAAAGGGGTTTTAACACTCTTACAAAGACAAGTTGAAGAGGAAAAATTTATTGTAGGGGTAAAGTTTAAAATCTTACGATATGAAATTGACACATTTTATTTTACATAAAATGGGGGGATGTTTAACCGAATATCAATACCTATTGCAAAATCATAATCAATAATATTTATTACACTCTAAAAATGAATGCAGAAGTAGAACTTTAAAGAATGAAAATATAAGTAAACAATGAAATATTTATGAAACTTAGTAACAGAAATGAAAAATGGAGCAGATTTATTCAATCTCAATGCAAATATAAATTTCAAATACCTGGTAATGCTTGAAACGAAAATACTTTAGTAAACTAGATAGCAAATACGTAAAAAAAAAAAAAAAATTTCTTTCAAATGCAAAAAGAGGCTGAAATTCACAGCTTTCGAAGAATTTAAAGTTTAAATTACAATATGTAAACAGACGATCCCAAAACAAATCAATCAAGATTGACGAAATCTAAAGGAAATGTATTACGTACGCTTTGGGTGCATTCAAGAAATCTGAAAGGTTCAGGCTGCACAAAAAGTTACATCAGTTGTCTTTCATAAATAGTTTGAAAACTTCAAATTCTAAGAGAACGAAATAAACTCAGACGAAAGAATTGAAGCAAATATCAATAGTGATATTCCAAATAAATTACGAAATCTTGCTTCGCATTCCGCACCTCGCAAAAGCTTTTTACTCGCGCGTGATTTCGGGGACATTTCAGTTTCTAAGCGGTTTACGGTTCTGCGTAGAGGTGATTCTGCGTAAAGGTATTCACAAGAGCCTTGCACCTCTACTCACAGTTGCGAAAACTTTAAAAAAAACTGCCGATTGACAGTAAATATATTTCACCAATCAGAATTTCTTCAACAGCGATCGAGTTGTTGCAGTTCATTTACGTCACATAGGAGCTGCACAATAGGCTATATTGGCGATGGTCTGGGAAACATCCCTGAGGATGATCCGAAAACATGCCATCACAATTTCGATCATCTGCAGAGGGGATGGCACCCCCGCTTCAGTAGCCCGACGACCAGCACGCGAAGTCGAGCACTTTACGTTAGAAAAGTTTAACGAGGACCAATACCGCACACCCTCGATCCCTACGCAGACTAATCCAAGTGGTCACCCACACGCACACTGACCGCAACCATTGATGCTTGACTTCGGTGATCTGGTCATCACCGATCGAATTTTAGGTTATGAAATCATCTTTTCATTAGCGATCGAAATGTTCTGCAGGTGGCGTAAGCCATAACCTACTAGAAGTTATGGCAGAACTCTATACATGCTTTCCCCATTATCGTGTGGAGATTCATAGAGGAAGGAAGTATATTAGCTTCTCTCTTGATTTTCATATAGATTAAAAACTTTGAAGTTGGAAAACTATATGGAACTGAAAACTACATTAACCCATTGGGGACTGGTAATTCAGAAAAGCATTCGTACAATATCAGAATCAAGTTGTAGTAAAATAAAAAACGGTAACTTAAATGTAGTCTTTGCTAATTTGGCAGACTTACTTTGCTTTTACTTTAATTATTGTTAGTTTAATTGTTGTTGTTGTTAATTTGTGTCGCACTAGAGCTGCACAATGGGCTATTGGCGACGGTCTGGGAAACATCCCGGAGGATGATCCGAAGACATGCCATCACACTTTTTGATGCTCTGCGGAGGGGATGGCACCCCCGCTTCGGTAGCCCGACGACCTGCGCGCGAAGTCGAGCACTTGACGGTAGCACAGTTTAACGAGGACCAATACCGCACAACCTCGGTCCCTACGCAGACTGATCCAAGTGGTCACCCACCCGCACACTGACCGTAGTCAGTGATGCTTGACTTCGGTGATCTGCTGGGAACCGTGTCTTAACCATCAGTCCACTGCGGGACTGTTAGTTTAATCATATATATAATCAATGTTAATTCAAAGTATAACTAAATAGTTTTATTTTGAACAAAGTAATAGTGAATTAAATAAATCAAACAATTACAACTCCGCCCACAAATAAACTGCTAAAGAAATACTTTGATTACCAGTTTTATCTTTTTACCCTGATTGATACGGTTTTATGCTGGCACATATTTGTGACAGTCGGCGCGAAAGGGTTAAACGTTGTTCTAAAGAAAAGCATCACGGAAATTTTAAAAAATATTCTTATTAAATAAAAAGGAAAAATATTAAGAAAAGGAAAAATAGCGTAGTTCATTCCTATACAGCTGAAAAGAGGAGGAGAGAGAAGGGAGAAGGACAAAAGGCATGAAATCGGTCTCTCCCCAGATGGCGTATTCGAGCGTTGCGATATTTTTATAGATGGCAGACTAAATGTTAGCGATGACTAGCTTTTTACAATCGGAAAAAATTTAGACAACTTCCAGTGTATCCTTCTGCTTATTTATGCTTACGAGGTGATGTGTGAACAGACTCAATATTCTAAGTAGGTACTTTATTTACGTCGCACTAGAGCTGCAGAATGAGCTATTGGCGACGGTCTGATAAATATCCCTGTGGATGATCCGAAGACATGCCATCGCAATTTTGATCCTCTGCAGAGGGAATGGCTCCCCTACTTTGGAAGCCCGACGACCTGCGCGCGAAGTCGAGCACTTTACGGTAGAACAGTTTAACGAGGAAGGATACCGTGCACCATCGATCCCTTCACAAGTTGACAGCAGCAAGTGATGCTTGACTTCGGTGTTCTACTCGGAACCGTGTCCTTACGATCAATCCACTACGAGATGTCTTAATATTCTAGGAAGTTTTATTATTGTGATTGTTGTTTAAATGCACACGTAATTTTACCATTCATAAGAGTTTTCTGTAATTTATAAATTCTAACAGGTCGAGAGCATAAAACAAATTTAACAAAATTAATATTACAACATAAATAAAGTGTAATGTTAGTAATGATTTGAGTGTCATCTCTTATTTGGCAATGTTTGTGTAAAGTATCACCGTTTGTTATTTTTTGGATAGCACCATGACAAGCTTGCGGAGTTTTCCAAATTCATTTGCTGTTTGTTTCGTTGAAAGTTAGATTGAAAGAATGCGTTATATTGAAAACACTACAAGTATAATAATATTGGATGGTGCGTTTTTTCACACTTAGGTGTAAAAATTAGTTGGAAGTAGTGACCCGGAAGTCTTATGACGAATTTAAACTTCTAGCGCCATCTGTGCTTAGCTTCACACGGTCAACCATCCATAGAAAAATTGAGCGTCAAAAGAAAAAAATAGTATTATCCATTTTACTCAGTTCACAATCTGAGGTCTGACTTACTGATTTCTCTAAAGTGCACAAGATTTATCTCACATTACACCACTTTCCTTTGTGCAAGTCATAATTGAATTTAAAAAATATATATTTTACATTGCTATACTTCTCTGGAACCAGATCCTTTCTGGGGCATCGTTACTACTACTATTATCTAGTAGCACAGCCGGAAAAATTTTCTGAGGGAGTGTTGAAATTGAAAGTTTCAATTACCATTAATGACCAGTTAGATAATTTAAATAGAATAGTTTTTTAAAAAAAAAATATTTTCAAATATAACAATTGAATAATGTGTATAAATTATAATTATAGTACAATATCGATAGTTTTAAATTTATAAATATTTCATTTATTAAAATTCAGAAGATATAAAGACTAAAATGATAAAAATAGAAATTTTTCGTTACCAAATATACCACCTTTGGATTAGCTAGCGTGCTCAAACTTAGACTGCTATTCTGTATTGAATGACGATGACAATACAAGTTTCAATTATTTCTTGATCACTAAAGGTAGAATTTATTGCCATTTTATCTCCAAAGGAAATTTTTGATCACTCTTTGAGCTAGAGTTAATATATTTCAACTGGAGCTTCGTATTAGATATTAATACTCTTTTCATGATTGTTACTAGAAAAATGTATACTCAATTATTACTCTACTCAAAAATTTGAACTTTTTTCTGCTTAACTAGAGTGTTCATATCTCGACTGGAGAATCCCGCTTGCTAACAATACAAGCTTCGACCGTTTCCAGAGTGCTACAAGCAGAATTAATCTCCAAATAGAATTTATAATCAATCTAATTCTTGACTACTTTCCAGATAGCCAGAGTGCTCAAATTTCAGCAATATCTTGATAACAATATGAGCTAAAACCAGAGCCTGATTTATCATAAGGCCTAAGCATCAAAATTTCTGAGGGTCCTCTAAATGCTACAAATGTTTTTATGCATTTTTCCTTAAGAATCATTTATTCGAATCATGAGTAAACAAAATCTGAAATGAATACTTTACTAAAACGTTTTAATTAACTTATAAGTAATTAAAAAAAATTAGCAAATAAACAATATGTAAATTTGGTTTAAGGTTATGACCAGTGGGGCTCCTCGACAGTTCTACATCTACAGATTTCTAAAACAGGCTTGCTTAAAACTGTTTCCTACAGGCTGCAATAAAATTTATCTCCCCATTTTGAACAACTCTGATAATAGCCAATCAAATAAATCTTTTTGTAGTTGAAAATTTGTAGTATGTTTAGTAGTCTTTTTCAGCATGATTTTGAAACCTGCATGGGTTTCTGCACTTTTCCCTCTCTCAACATGGTTCCATTCTAAGTTCTCATTACCTTCTTGCCTTTTATCACCCCTCTAATTATCAGTCTAACCTCTAATCATCAGTCTAATTATGGAACACTGAGCCGAATTTTTTACTATAATTTATAAAATGAAGCTAACACATTTATTAGACAACCTAGTGCATGGTTCTGGCAATGTTTTTAGGTTAAAAGTAATAAAAGACTAAAAAAAAAATAATTTTTTTTTTAGTTCTAGAAACTTTAATAATCTGGTATATTTCCAAAACAAAAAAAAATTTTCTTCAAAATTTTACCTCAACAATGAATATTTTGCAAACTTAAAAAAAAGTTCTCCCAGCTTAATTATGCCGCAAAAATTATTCAACTGCAGTATAAACAAATTACATTTAATGAATATTCAGTATACATATATATACATCGAGATTAACAGTTAAAATCAAAACAATATAAAATATTTTAACAATCCACAACAACTGGCAATTCATCTTCTGGTACTTCTTCAAAATCCCATTTATAGATAGTAGTTAAGTTTTTGCGAAAATTATCAGAGAAATTCTTAAATTTTTCAGAAGCATCACTATTTTTTACATTTTCAAAGAAAATCTGCAAAGTATTAACAAGGAAATTGTGCTCAGCTGTTATATCAACAAAGAAATCATTCGGAATTTCCTTTAACTGATAATGAAAAATTGTCAAGAAAGTAGTTAGAAGAGAGGAATGCTTTTCTAAGCCTGAGTCAACTGAGCACATTATTTGAACTAAATGTTTCCAATGCTCAAATGAATCGTAAACATGAGCAACAAGGAAACAAATGTGGGCCATTTGCAGTTCTCCTAGTATGTCTTCTTCATTTTCATGACATTTTAAAATTTGCTCTAATCGATACGTTGAATCCATATAGTGCATTGATATCTGTGAAGCTGAACTGCCTTCAGGATATCTAAAAAAAAATAATAATAGTAAATTGCATGCGGTAATTACATAAAATGCACAAAAAAGGTAAAATGGTACATGGGTAAGAAATAAGAGTGAATAAAATCAGATAAAACAGTTATATACAATATAAAATACCAATAGCTCGCAGGAATGCTAAAATGTTAGGATGATGGATTTCCCCAAACAAATCCTTCATACGTAAAATAGTGTTGCTAAAAAATGTAAGACGATGTTGGTTAAAACAAGGACAAAGAGTTAAAATGTGATGAACTGTAAGTAAAACGCTACAAGTGTCGCTTTGGGGAGGAGATTCTCCGAACGACAAAGGAAGATGGGTGAGTCGAGAATGGCCGATTCTGAGACGATTAAGTTTTATATCTGTATTACGCAGTAAGCGTAAAGGATCCAGATTAGGTTTATGTTATAAAGTTTATTTTGAGTTAGAAGATCCCAATGTTGCTGCCAAAGATATTCGATAAACTGCCGAATAGATAATTTAATGTCTGAAAATGGTACGGATATTGTTAAGGCAAAAGTGGCAAATCGTGCTGCAGAATCAACCAACTCATTTCCTGGTATACCGACGTGACTCGTCCTTTCTTGAGAAAAGCGATTAACAAACGATTAATGAAACATAAAATTGGATGGGTATAGTTGCAAAAATTTTCTAACTGGTTCAAAACGCTCATACTATCAGAGTATATGTAAAACTTCCGAGTAGAGCGCGAAGAAATCTGCCGCAACGCCAAAAGGATCGGAACAGTTTCTGCAGTGAAGACGAAACAAACATCTGGGATCTTGTAGCTATAAGTGTCATCAGAGATTAAGATACCTCAGCCTACGTATCCAGCAGATTTTGATCCGTCAGTAAATGCCGAACATCAGACAGGCATAAACTCAGAATATTGGTGACGATGAGAAGTGAATAGTTATTGATGCAAATGAATGCAAAATTAGATTACATCATAAAAGGGGAATAAAACTTATATGTCGTGGCGATCCATCGTGGTATGAGAAGGTGATCAACTGATTGCGTTGATAACTTGCAAATGTTGAATGTTTGTATAAGTGAGTGCACGCGAGTATGAAATGGACGGACAATCATACAATCGTTCCAAGCTTGATGAAACAGCATGTTTCAGAGGATGAGATTTGCAGGACATGTTACGATAGTAATAGGCTAGGGACAGCTGCATGCGACGTAAATCTAGAGATGATTTGTGAAAAATAACATGCAAACTTTCTACTGGTGAAGTGCAGAAAGCGCCACTACATATATGTAAAGCCGTATGATGCACTGTGTCGGATGCAGTAGAAGTGCCATTGACTGCACAAGCATAATCTATCGATACGTGAGTAGAGTATTAACACCTTGTACAGTCTAATTAAGGTGATACGATCAGCACACTAAAAGGTATTTGACAAAACGCGTAATACATCCAAGGTCTTCTCACACCATTTTCTTTGATGAAAAATATGAGGCATGAAAGTGAGTTTGTGATCAAATATGACGCCTAAAAACTTCAATTCAGATACAACTGGTATGGTAATGTTGTGAATAGGTATAACTGGATCAAAATGCATTCTGCGTAACCTACAAAAATGAATGCAAGAGCTTTTAGCAGGTGAAAGGTTATGACCATTTTGCTCACACTATTTTACGATTTTATTCACAGTAACTGTAGTAGACGTTCAATGACGCGCATGTCAGATCCTATACATGACACGTTAAGATTTTCAACATATAGTGAACCAAATACGGAAGGTGACAATAAATTCAAGACGAGCGAAACATGAATAATGAAAAAAATGACACTTAAAACATTGCCTTGAGGAAAGCCTTCAGCCTGAATGAAGAGATCAGAAAATGTAGTGCACAGTCTTACTTCAAAATACCGCTTCAACAGTAACCTTTTGAGGAAGATGGGTAGGTTTCCACGAAATCCCATGTCGTAAAGTGTCTTCAAAATTCCGTATTGCCATGTCCGATCGTAAACCTTCTCAATATCCAAGAAGATAAGAGACAAAATGGTTACGTCGGACAAAGGTATTGCGAATTTGTGACTCTAAAGCAACATGGTTTTCAATCGTGGATCTTCCCTTACGACAACCACTTTGGAAGTCGGAAATAAGATGATTATTTTCGAAGTAATATACCAAGCGAGACTTGATCATCCGCTCAAATGTTTTCCCAAAACAACTGGTTAAAAGTATAGGGCGATTGTCCGGGACCACGGAACCGGTGGGAGCAGATGGGGCCTTAGCTCCCTTCTATTTTATAAATGAAGGGACACAGCCCCTTCTAACATTACAATTTTTCAAACAATATTTGCATAATTAAATTTACAATTAAAAAAAATAGATAATTTTTAAGTCTGAATTCTAAAGAAATGTCTCCATTTTAATCAAGTTTTAACATTTCCTTGGTGAAAGCTGCTACCAAATCATTCCTTACTCCTGCCCATGCAAAAGGAACATATGGTCATATTGCTGACGAATAAGGAAACTCTTGGTTTCCTATGTCACAGCGAACAGAATAAAAAATTTATAATTTACGGATGAACAATGTCTTTTATTAATTTTATTTTGATTTTAAAACAATTCGAATCATGAAGTTCAAATTGCAAGTTCGAGTTCTTGATTGCTATTTTGTGAGGTTCAGTTAATTCTAACCCGGTTAATAATATATAAATACATATATACACATACAGGGAGGAGAGGAGAGCCCCCCCTCTCCACTTTTGAGATACTTCCGCGGTCACTGGCGATAGTAAACTGGATCTTTCGAATCTTTACCTGGTTTTAAGATGGGTATCACACTTTCTTCACGCCAACCAGATGGGTACGCTTTTTCGGTCCATATTCTATTGAACAGAACGAGAACATTTGACAAAGACGTCCTATCTAAGTGGCGGAGCATGTGATACGCGATACCATCTGGACCGGGACTTGTATTATGAGAGCGATAAAGTGCTCAACAAAATTATAACTGCCGTTATAGGAGAAGAGAAGGCGCATATCAAAGTTGATGTTACCGGAAGGTGAAACTCACGGTATATGCCATTAGCTCTCTTGACTAAAGTTGTCTGGGAGATGTCGAAGATGTTAAGTAAGAGACGTAACGGGAATCTTTCTGACTATTGCGCCTGAACTTTCGTGCTATTGCTTTAGCCCGTAAAAAGGCTAAAATATTGGCAGTGTTAGGGTACAGGCGGAAGATGTTCTACAGGCGTCTCTGCTCTTTATAAGAAGTGGCGCATTCCTCATTACACCACGGCTTGCGATGGCGAGGAAGAGAACTTAACGAGTTGGGTATACTATCTTCTGCCGCTTGGAGAATTACAGACGTAACACGATCAACAATTGCACTTATGGTATCATGAGTGACCATATCATCCATGATCTGAGCATTTAGAAGTCGGTTTGAGCGATGGTATATGAAAGTTGATGGTCTTGGGCTCATGGGAATAGAAGCAGAATATGAAATTATGAGAAGAAAATGCTCGCGGTTATGAAGATAATCGCTCACTGAAAAGTTTATAAAAGGTAAAAGAGTTGGTGAACATAATTCCAAATGCTAAGAATGATAGGTTCCTGTAGATGTGAGGAAGTAAGTTTCTTCACCTTGATTAGGCAAACAGAGATTATGGTTATGGATGAGTTATTCAATTTTACGCTCCCGGTCATTGTAGGCGAAACTATCCAACAACTCACTATGACCATTAAAATGTCCGAGTAAAATAAAAGGCGAAGGTAACTGATCTATAAGTAAGTTTATAACTGTTTGGAAAATGGTTGCATCAGGAGGTGGATAGACAGAACAGACTGTAAGAAGAACATTGATATGAATTTGAACTATGATTACCTGTAATGCGATTGATAAAGAAAGGCGAGTAGATGGTAATACATTAGAAGTTAAAATTGCAACGCCGCCATTAGGATGACCTCCATCATCGAAATTATGTCGGGAGCAAGAGTAGTTACGCAATTTAAAAATATAAGATGACGTTAAATGAGTTTCCTTCAGTGCAAAGCATGCATGTTTTAATATAAGAAAGCTTATTCCTTAGGCCACGGCAGTTCCATGAAATAAATTTTATGGACATAATGTAATGGGTGTATATTGTTGTATTTTAACGTCAAGAGTTTTCGGTCAGTCAAGTTCGAAAGGATGAAGAGACAATTCTACGTCAAAATCCATCTTCTGAGTAGCAGAAGTGAATTGATTGACGTATTTTGGATCTCTTTCTTCCGAAATATGCCAGGCTTTTTTCTTTAGGGCATTTTTGTTGATGAAAGCTGCTTGGGAAAAGGTCAGGCTTTTTCTGAGTTATCAATTTTAGAAGTTTTTTTGGAGGAGGAGATGTTGTTCGCTGTGACGTTGATGGTGTATTAAAGTTAAAGCGCGATTTTTGGACTGTAGTTTGAAACTGGTGATGAGAGGTAGAAGACAAAGGTAGAAGGTCCGTTTGCGTACTGACAGAGCAAAATGAAGTCTTGGCAGCAGCGGAATATGGCATACCCGGATGGGGGTAAGGGCTTCATTGAAGGTCACATTTGTAATACTTTGACACTTTGTATATCTTTCTCAAGGGACCATTTTGGACAACTCCTGGAGTATGCAGCATGAGCACCTTTAGAGTTAATGCAGAGAAGCAGCAACTCGCAAGTAGTTTCACCATGGTCAGAACCAGAGCATTGAGAACAAATAGGCTCGTTACTACAAGATGCTTTAGCGTGTCCAAACCTTTGGCACAGGAAGCACCTTAACGGGTTTGGCACTCATGGTCATACAGGGTAGTTATGCCAGGTAAAGCTTCACCGAACATGATGGTTCAGGTGTGTCAAAAGTAAAGATCAGATGTTTCATGGGGATGAGATTTCTATTCCTCCAAATCTTGATTCCACAGACAGCAGTAACATGTTGGTCTCTTAAATTTTACACAATTGTTTCCTCTGCATCCATCCAAGAATTCAGATTCTGATATTACACCTTGAGAGGTGCTAAGAATCTTATGGTGGGATACTGTAACAGTGAAGGAGCAAATATTGGTACAATTAGATAAAATAGTGACCTGTTTTTGGAAGACGTCAACTAAGGTCACCTGAATATAACTTTTTTACAGAGGCTACATCTCCCAGTATTGAGAGAAGAGCCTTATAAACCAAAAATGGCGACAATTTGGCAAATGAAGTGTTAGGTACTTCTGGGTTCATGAGCATAGTGATGTAATATTACTATTCTTTAAAAATTGCTTGCTTGATTCTTAAGTTTTTCTTTGATTTGTTTTGAAATTGTTATTAGCAGTTAATTTTATTTATAAACTAATAAAAAAGTTTTATTTCTTTATGCACTGAAGGAGCTTGTATCACTTTTTTATATCGGTTTCGCTAATTTCAAACGGATATATTCAGCACGTGGTACCCTCTTTTATTTTAGAATTCAATGAAAAGTCTACATGAATAAAGTATGTAAATCTTAGAACTTAAAATTCATTTCAAATGTTTCCTAGTGTCAGTTAAATATTCATTCACTTGAAAAACTATTTTTATGAAACAATAGAAATTAAACTCCTCAAATCTATACCCATCCTTTCATATATTTATTAATTTTTTTAAAAGCTAAACTTCCAAAATATTTAAACATCTGATTTCGAATTTTTGACTGAAGATAGAAATGCACTGAGGAGTGGAAATGGAAAATCTATAAAATAATAATAATACTTTCCTAACTTTACTTTTATTTTCTTGTAAGTTATACTTACTGTAACTTGTAAACTTGTAATATGTTACTCGCTATAAAATAAATTTTATTAATTATAAAAAATTCTATAACTTTTTTGCTGAATTATAACATTTTACAACATTTTCCTCTAAGATATCATAAATCTTTTTCAAATAATCAAAAATAATTTTACAATAATATTTATATATATTTTAAAATCTCATACAATAAATTTAAACTAAACCTGCATAGATTTTATTTGTTTGGTTCTGCAATCATACTTGATGAATTTAAGTTAGAAGTTTTAATTTCTAAGATCATAAGAAGATTCATAATACTATTTAATTTGAATATTAATCAATTCGTATATTTATTATATAAAAGCTAGCTGAAAATACTTTTAAAACAAATGCTCCCAATTCATATTGAATAATTATTATTGTACTAATTTGATGTTTTACCAAAATATTTTTGTTTGCCTTGCCTTTACCTGAAATCCATAACATTGATATTAAAAAATATTTTGCTAAACGCAATAAATAAATAAATAAACAAACGAAGAAAAATATAAGAATAAAATTGAAAGCAAACTAGATTTCAATAAATGTGTTATTATTAAAAGAACATCGATGACACTAATTTATTTTCTGTACAAAACTTTAATATTTGTCTTAAAATTAGTACGAGAAATATACCAGAACTGATTCGTGATTAATTTACATTTTGTGAACTAATTACAGAGAAATTATATTGGGGAGGAGCTACAAAAAGATGTAACAGAAGACTTTGTTGGGAAATCCAATCAGTGTGCTCAAAATCTCTTTTTACAAACTGTAGATGTAAAGGTAGTTTACATCTACAGATTGATTGTAACAGTATAATAACATACTCATAATCAGCGTGCCTCAGAAGTAAGGATGATACCTGTTAAGTTTAAAGCTTTTAAAATTTTACATAAGCAATAAGATATGAGACATTTGACATTTAGTATCTAAATTGTAGTTTTAAGTGTTTTTAGTAGATAACTTATGAAGGCCATTATTAATCACCAATATTTAGAAGAATTTTTTTTAAATATATAATAGAGATTATATTTTATATATATATATATATATAGAATAGAGTTCGAAATGAAGAATAAAACAAAGAAAAATTAAAAACATATGAAAAAAAGGGGGTGGG